CGGTCCCGAGCAAGCTTGGTTAATAAGAGATTTATTATACGACTGAAGTTCAAAGGGACACAAGCGTGGTATCATTCGGGACCATTCGGGACAGTGCCCGGTCCAATACTTAGAGAATATTGGACCGGCAATAGAGCATTTTGATTGGTTGATTTTAGTTATTGGCCCTCTGACTGCCCGAGTCGTGTAATAAAGTGCACTTACGGCAGGAAAATTCGTCCTAACGGAGTTACAGTGACATTCATTCATTTTCAACTGTGAGAAGTCCTTTGCTTATTGTTCATTGATTGTAAAGACTCGCGCCTGATGAGTCTACTTATTTTGATAAAGACTACATACATACATTCATTCATTCAATCATTGCAACCTCTTCAACTGCATTCTCTTTAAACTGCTTTTCAGTAGTACTTTCTATACGCTTCAGAATGGGAGGCTGTATTTGCCTTTCCCTTGTGCTACCGTGAACATGAATTGTCATGTCGATATATGAGTCACTGACAATCTTTTATTTAGATTTTTGTTGATGAGGTTTATGTTAAATAATTAACAATTATTCCACGAGCACGCGTTGGCTATAATCATCTCATATCCAACAAGAGCGAGTGGAATAATTGTTTTATTAAAAACGTTAAATTAAGTTATTAAATTTTATCAAATTTTTAGCTCCCTTTTAATTTTAAGCTGAAACGTACGCTTGCCATATTTGTAGATTATGGTATATTGGCTGATATACCATAATGGCTAAGCCAATAAAAAGTCTTGAATTGCATTATCCAATGATCTAGTTTTTAATAATAATTGTTACACATTTATTCAATAAACACTTTAGCAACAGCTGCTAGGATACCAAGCACAGCTTAACAAGAGGAGACAAATGATGGAAGACCTTGAGCGTGACCATCAAAAAGAGATGGCTGCGCTGCAATCCCAGGTATGTCATGCAAACTGTTTATCTTCAGCAATTGAATTCAAATTAAGAGTAGATTCGTAAAGACCCAGCTAAGTGGTTTTCTGAAGAGACTCTTTGCTGATATGTCATTCAGAACTTATTGGCCAAGATGTTCTAATGTAGTGTACTTTCTTTTGAGTTAAATTTTCACATGTACAGTACCGCTCGCGTGTACTGCAGCAACCCCGCGGGCGTTAGGCGCGTGTAATTCGTGGGAATTCAAAGCGCGTGTAGTTTCGCGCGTGCAGTAGAAAAATTACACGCCTGCAGTAAAAAAAGTACACGCCTGCAGTAAAAAAAGTACACGCCTGCAGTGGTGCACACGCAAATGCATGTGCTTGAAACGGAAATATGTACAGTCATGAATTTGTACTGTTGTTTGATTTTAGCTTGGACGTGCAAAAGATGAATGTGACGATACTGAAGATACTGTTCAACAGTAAGTGTGCCGTTAGTGATTATTGACTTACGTACCCCAGACAACCCCCTTCCCCTGCCCCACCCTGTGCGGGAGTCGCTTCCAACAACTTGCAGCGAAAATTATCCCATTTTTCTTGTTAGGTTGAAGAGTTCATTAGAAGAAGCTCTTGCATCCAATAGGGAACAAGCCTCTGATATTGTCAAGGTGCAAGACGAACTCAGGAAGACACGTTCGTCTCTTCAGGTAATATTTCGCAGCTGTCCAGTGTTAAAACTTCATTGTAAACTCCAAAAGTTAAAAGCATACAACTTCGCTTTTCAATAGATAAAGGTAAAGTCTGTTTACGAGCCTAGTGGCCCATTAGGCCAGTGCTTAACTCCGGTTTCTGTAGCATGAAGCGACTAGGAGTATTTCTACTCCCCCCTGGATGGGATGCCAGTCCATCCCAGTTACCCCCAGCATTAACTTTCCGGTACCCATTTAAACACCTGGGTGGAGAGAGGCACTGTGAGAGTAAAGTGTCTTACCTAAGAGCACAACACAATGTCCCGGCTGAGGCTCGAACCCGGACCACTCGATCCGGAGTCGAGCACACTAACCATGAGGCCACTGCGCCTCCACATTTACATGTACATCTTGTAATTATCCTTTTTTTTCTTACAATAGCTTTGCTTAAGCTAACCAGTCAATTTACTCATATCTCATTTTAATCCAAAGGCCACTTTGCTGTAGACTTTGTCACAAATGAT